GCCGCCGCGCGGGGCGCGGAGCGGAGCGGCGGCCGGCGCATGGCGCGGTGCGGCGGCGGCGCAGCGCCGAAGGGCCCCAGCCCGGCGGCGGCGGAGCGGCAGCGGCTGAAGGAGGCGCTGGCCGAGCAGCTCCGGCAGGACCTCGGCAGGTGGGCGCGGGGCGGCGGCCGAGGCAGGGGCGGCCCCGTGCGGGGCGGGGACACGCGGTAACGGTGCCGTCCCGCAGGCTGCTGGCGGAGGGGACCCGCTCCGACGTGACCATCCGGGTGGGCGACGCGGCGCTCCGGGCGCACCGGGCGGTGCTGCTGGCGCGGGCGCCACGGCTCTTCGCCGCCCTGGGAGGGGGGCGGCCGCCCCCCGAGGTGCTGCGGCTGGACGGCGTGGGGACCGCGGAGATCCGGCGCTTCCTGCGGTGAGTGCGCGGCCGCGGCGGGACTGATGAGCTGGCCTTGGCACCGCTTCTCTTGTGTCCTGTCTTCTTGCTTCCCAGTACTAGCACCTGTTGTAAAGCTTTTCCTATTCAAGGCAGTATTCTCACAGCTTTCCTACAGCATTGGCAGAGGACTTTTCTGTAACTTCCTTATTTTCCTCTGCCTTTGTCCGTCTGGTGACAGCGCATGGCTGTGCTCTCCACCACAGCATACTTTTTATGGTATATAAAGGCTTTTTAGTAGATAAAAAGCAGCCAAAATCCTGAATACACTGTCTAAGATTATCTGTGCTTACTAACACTCTCCTTAGCAAGATTTCCTAATGGAAACAGAAAAGAAAAACTGCTGTCATGTCACGCGTAAAATAAAAAAGTTATGGATACAGAAACCTAGGAGAGCTTCATCAAGTTGGATCAAAATGCATCAAAGCTAGAAACTCATCACTCAAGTCCTAATGAGCCATGGGCTAGGCCAGAGACGGCACAGCTTTGATCCGAGTTGGGATCCCAGAGGGAGGCGTGTGGGCTGGCTGCTCCCCAGGGACTGGTGCAAGGGCCAGCGCATTTTTGCACTGCCAGCTGTTTTCCCATTGCCACACATGCAACATCTCTCGTGTCTTGCTCCAAACCTTAGGTGAGTTACGTGAGGAGTGTTGCCACCAGACCTTGCAATCCTCCTTGCTATAAATGCCTCTCACCTTCTTTCAAAGACCTGCTTTTCTCTAACAAAGCTGCAGCAGTGCCAACTACTTTCCCTAAAACAGCGGTGGTGTGAAGTGGTAGGCACTCTGGGATTTCACATGAATTCAGGATGTGCCTAGAAAACATAGGGGGGGAGGGTGTTGCAGTTTTAAAGTTTAGTGCCTGAAATAGTCTGACCTCTCCCTATTGGTTTTGTTCATTTTCTTCTTTAAATGTGTAAAAAAGGTAGCAGATAGCTAAATATATGTATTCGGAGTACTAAAGTTATGATAATTATGAAAGAAAACTTTTTGAAACACAGAATCATTGTAGTGGAACAGGTCGATAAAGAGGCATTTGTTACGTTACTGTCACAGCCTGGCAGGAGCATTAGCAAAACAAGTGGTAAGAAACAAAACAGCATGGGGTTTGTCTCATATTTTTCCTGACTCCTTATTACTTTGCTGTAACTAATTTCTTTCATTTCATATAAGAATTTCATGGACAAGTATGATATTGCAAATTTTAAAAAATCAAATTCATTTGGACATAATTATTTGGAATAATTATTTTAATTATCTATATACTGTTATAGCATTTTTTTTGTTTTCCTAATGGTAAACACTTAATATGCCTACAGCCCACTGATACTTGCTTTCAATTTTGTCTGTGTTTGCTGGAAGGCAAGTAATGATGTCTGGAGTCCTGCACGTTGTCCAGAAAGGATGGTATTGAAAAGCACCTTTAAACTCAGCTCATCTCATTATAAACCTTTTATCTTTTCACAGTGAGTTTAGATTCTTCAAATGAACCTCCCTATATGTTCTAAGATATGTATGAAATGTGTTTTGCAAGATGATTGCTTTTTCTTAACTTAATCTTCAGTGCTGTTTGATACTTCACCTTTTGAGTCCTCTAACCTAGCACATACTATGAAAATTTGTGCCACAGAGCGCACTGAAGTTTGACAACAGTGAACTCCTTTGGGCCAAAGAAACGAAGCAGCCTTAGTTGAAAAGAGCCTAATTCATTGTTGAAATGACTTCTGCTAGTATCAGTGGCTGTCGAATCTCAGTGGCTTCTTGTTTGGATGCTAATTAATTAATCTTCACAAATGCAAAACGGTGCCTTTAAATTACAGCTTCAGGTTTACCAGAAGCCAGCCTAGTTCTTGGAGCACGTGAACCACCATGATGAGTTGTAACAAAGACCTGTAGCTGCAGCTGAGCTCCTGAAAGAAAGATGTTGTTTTCTACAAAAGTTCTGCGTTTGTATGGAGAAGTGGAATACTAATATAGTATTGAAGAGTTCATCGAAGATGTAAAAAAGTCTCATTTCTTTTCCTGTTTATATTCAGCTTTTCTTTTATCTTCCCAAGTAAAAATTATCTTTCCTTGGGGATTTGGGGATTTTCTTTTCTCACGGGCTATATCTGGCCTGCATCTCAGTGAGGCGCACTTCCTTTGGGCCTCTGTCTCTCTTCATCAGGAGAGATGTGGGCTGCGTGTCACTTGTGTGCTGAAGGCTGTGCAGCTCCTCTTGCCAAACTTCTGAGCGTTTTTGAGCAGGAGGGAGGACGTGGTGAGCTTCATGCAGATCTTTCTGCATAGCCCCAGCATGAAATAGAAGAGCAACTAAGCAGTGTTTTGTTTCCCCCCCATACACTTAAATGTCTGAGGACACCAGGAAGTGCAGCATCCATATTGTAGACACTGTGCACCCTATGTTTTTGGCTGATTAATGTAATATTGACTGTGCCCTCCAATAGCCTCCTGTCACTCTTCAGGATGCCACTAGAAGAGTGTCATCAATTCCAAGTACATGGATGGCAGGAGATGACTGCCTAAGCAGGGTTCTGCAGTGTGCCTCGGGAAGAAAAACTTAGCATCCCTGAAGCACAACAGTCAGTCACAGGTCATTAGATCATTACTATCTTGTGAGCTGGGAGGCAAACCGCTTTTTATTTTCCCTTGCAGTTGGAAAAAATACAGCTTTAGCAATAAAAAATCTAGTTATTATTGTCTCTTGATATTTGTATTGAAGGCAGCTGAGTCAGGGAAGGACAGAGAGGGGCCTAATGACAGATCCAGTTAAAAAGCAATAAATACAATCAAATACAAAGAAATACAATTGTCACTGTGACATTTACTGCCACAGGGGTTAATTTGCTATACCAGCAGTTGATTCAATGTAGACCAGCCAAGGCTTCGACCGTGTTATGCTTGTAGAGTTCTGTATCAGGCAGTACCAGGATGCCACATCTCTCTTAAGTGCAGGCAGAAACATTCTGGAAGGTAAACTCCTAGACAGCATGATGGCAGTAACTTCTTTCTGTAGAGTCTCTGCAAACCTTTCCTTTGTATAAAAAAATCTTAGGCTGTAGTAACTGCTATGAATACAACAGATACCCTATAGCATGTTCCTGTTTCATCTGTCACCTGGTCACACCTCTTGCAATCTTGTTGCTCATGTCTATCAGAATCTTTTCTGTGTAGGGGGGGGGGGAAAATCCCCAAGCCATAAGGTGAGGTATCTGTTAAAATTACACAACATCATACTGACGTTACAGAAGGTGATGGTTTTCAGCTTGACATTCTCTTGCACGTGAGGTTTTCGTAAAACAGTTGCACCAAATACAGCACCTTTGTTAGTATTTGTTCTTTAAATACAATTTCCAGTTACAGTTCCATACCACTGGATTACAAAAAGTAGTGAAAAAGGGAAATATTTCTTTAAATAACTTGTGCATGAATTTATTCTTACTGATTCCTAGATTGTCATAGTCTGCACTGGATAATGGCTGCTTTGGAGGAAACAAACCTGACTTATGCACATGTACACTGAATTCCTTTATGTTTATGTTAGGCTTATGCATTCCCCTCTAGTGGGTTGTGATTGCAGACCACTCTTTCAGAAGGATAGCATGCCTCCCATGTTCTTGACATTTTATGTTTTATACAAACTATTCTGATATGGTCCTTCCGTTTATCCTGTTACCAGTTGTGCCTGTTGATGTGGTGCAGCGTACTGTGCAAGGAGTATCTTCTTTGAGTGACTGATTCGTGGAACTTGAAAACAAGCTAACTGCATAGGGCTTTCTGTGGCACTTACAGGTGCATTTTTTGGCCCAACAACTATTCTTTTCATATTCTTTCATAAAGGAATCAGTGATACAGCTAAAAAAAAATCATCCCTCCTAAAACAAATAGAGTTAACAAACCTTGCCCTACTAATGTGGCAACATGGGAACTGTCTTAAACTTTGTGAAACAGTAAGTCTGAATTGTGGAAATTAAAATGCTCTGTTAAGACTTATCTCCAAAGAACAGTGAAAACTGAGAAAGTTGAGAACAAATTATTGTGAACCAAAGTCTTTATTTTCCAAGTTAAGGGATTAAGGAATCTGCTTCTCTTGAACACCCAAGCTGTTCTAACTTAATGGCTTTTCTTCGTACAACCACATTGTCTGGTCTCAGTTTGTCACTACAGCGCCAGGTTAGTTTTGTGGTTATAAATATGAGCTAAGTTAGTCACTGAGAAGAATAAGACTTTGCTGAGGGAGGAAAGGAGGGAAATAAGTAATGTACAACATGAAGCTGGTAGCTCAGATTTTATGATATATCCTGTTGGGGGAAGAAAGCGTTCACTAAGATGACTTGTTTACTTTGATGAAAATGAGCTTTAAACACATGACAAACAATGGCAACCTTATCTCCTTTCCACATACATAGAAACAATGAGTTTGTCTTTTTTCTTACTGGATTTTTTTTTGATCCATGTTTATATCTAATCTCAATCTTTCGGAGGCAGTTGAGAAGCTAAACTGTCAAGTCACAGTATATTCGGAATGTGTGTGATATTAAGATCTTGCTTTGGAAAGCATAGAATCTTAATGCAATGGATTTATGCCCCAAGGGGAAAAAAAAATCAATCTATGAGAAATGGGTAGAAAGAAACCTTTCACTGGGACTGCGACTGCTTGGGGATCAGGTTCTTCTTCTGAGATGCTGAGTGAGCTTTCACAAAAAATTAGAAAATTTAATCAGCACCTGTGTGAGGCAGCGAAGCAGTTGACATTGCATCTCATGAGAAGTTTACTGAAATACTTCTATCAGGAAATCAGCTAAGTTAAAACAACCATCTTGGCTGCAAAAATCAAGCAGATGGTTCTTTTAGCATTCTAAAGGGAAATGGAAGAATCTTAAGTGATTGCGCTATGTTGAAGTTGTGCATATGACAGGCCTGACTTGCACTAACGCAGATTCGCTGCTATAGGTGTATTGTTGAAATATTTTTGCAAGATTAAATGCAGTACATGAGAGTATTTGGTGCAGTTGGGTTTGCTAGACATTAGTGCATTAAAACTGGGCAGGGAGATTTCTTACATTCTCAGTGTTATTTTTATTAACAAAAGTAAACATACTTTGAGTTCATTTTGGCACTTAGTTGTAGTAACTGATAGCTTTGTTAAAGTAAAACTGTATAATATGATATTTTACACATGTAAGGAAGATATTTCGGTGCTGATCTAGTTACTGTGACATTCTTCTCTCTAAATTGGAGAGGAATGAGTTTGAGGGCTGGACCATTCAGTGGATAAGGAATTGGCTGGATGAGCACATCAAAGAGTTGTAGTTGCTTGATGAAAAGCTCAATGTGAGCGGGCAGTGTGCGCTCACAGCCCAGAAAGCCAATCCTGGGCTGCATCAAATGTGATGTGACCCACAGGTCAAGGGAGGTGACTCTCCTCCTCTACTCTGCTCTCTTGAGACTCCACATGGAGTACTGTGTCCAAGACTGGGGTCCCTAACATAAGAAAGACATGGACCTGTTGGAATGAGTCCAAAGGAGGGCAGCAAAGCTGATGAGAGGGCTGGGGCACCTATGCAGACAGGCTGAGAGAGTTGGGATTGTTTAGCCTGGAGAAGAGAAGGCTCTGAGGAGACCTTAGAGCACCTTCCAGTACCTAAAGGGTGCTTATACAAGAGAGCTGGAGAGGGACTTTTGACAAGGGCATGTGGTGAAAGGACAAGAGGGAATGGCTTTAAACTGAGAGTAGGTTTAGATTGGATATTAGGAAGAAATTCTTTATTGTGAGGGTGGTAAGGCCTTCTTAGGTTGTTCAGAAGACTATGAAAACTGCTGACTTGTAACTACTCAGTTCAAAACTGACCAAGATATAAGACCTTCTGATGACACCTCTATCTGATTTAAAAAAGAGATTCATAACTGTATAGAATTATCTTCTGCACTTTAGCTTATGAAGCTAGGATGTCACATTGAATGAAGCTTACTCATGAGGTTTGGAACAGTTTTTAAAAACTATTCCTATCATAATTCTGCAGTAAGGGTTCTGGTTTCTTACACCAACTGTGTTTTAAAGAGATGGTTTTACATTATCACTAAACTATCTGAGCTCCAAGGTCCAAGCTATGCATTTTGCTGTGGATGACAGATTTCCCTAGCTTTTATTTATGCAAAAATGCACCATTTGATACTCTCTAGAAGACAGTCTAGAAAGCTTCACTCTGCTTTAGAAATGAGTCTATAAAATAGAGGGTACTGCCAAGGAAAATTTTCTATAACAGGTTTTAGAAAACTGCTGAATATTGCAATCTGGAAATATCTGATGGGATTTTAGCTAAGATAAAAGGAAATTTCTAAAAGATGTGCCAAAATCATTATTGCTGTCTGTGAAGTAAAATAATGGATGCCTCCATGAGTCTTTCAAAATAATAAATTTACAGTCTGTATTAAGCAGGACTCTAATATGAAGATAACCTGCTGAATTTCTATGAATACACATACAGATACAACAACCTTAAAATCCCGTGTAAAAAGAATCCACCAGTCTTTCAATGTGAAATCCTGTCACACCTTTTCCTGTCCCTTGCTTTCAAAATCTAATAAAATATTAAAATTCTTATTCCCTACATTCTCGTTTCTCCTCATTTTCACTTGGTGAGGACCTGTATCACAAACACAAAAAAAATTCTACCTATCTCAATCCTTCAAATACTTAAGAAGGAAGATGATTTCTTTGTATGTTTTCTCAGCCCCTTTAGAAGACTGTCCAAATGGCATACTCAAATTACTGTGTTCCCAGTATTAACAAAAAAGCCTCTTTGCCATGGAATGAGTGACTCCATGCAGATCTCTAAGCATGTCTGCTACATCCAAAATAACTGTAGCTCTTCTGTTAAACTTTGTTAACTTCATCCCTATGGTATGAAACCACGGATGAAGCATGTTATCTGTTCACATTGGCTTTCTAAGGCTCCATTAAGTTGCTGGAGTGCAGTATCTTTCTATAAATACAAAATCTTTGCAGTCACAGACTGCAGGCTTTGTTAGCCTTCCAGATCTTGAGCCAAAAATAAGCTGGTGAAACAGATGGGAAAGTGGGAAGCTGGAATTACTATATGGGCAAAATGAAAGTTCTTGGGTGATCTTAACTGCAGATTTTTGTGCTTTCAAGTACTTCCTTTGAAATTAAAATTTATTTCCCCAGTTCATTTATATCTCTATACAATTATTATGATTTTGTACTTGTAACCTTGATGTTAGAAGGTTTTTATATTTTTGGGTATGTAAAATTGATTATATTAAAGGACAATCAAATGTCTTCTTTTGCTCATACTAAGATTTATACATCAGTTCCTTTTAACCTGATATTACATTTTACTTGTAGTGCTTCTTTATGCTTTTCAAGCATTGCAGAAATAAGTTTTCCAGAGATACAGTTTTTAAAAGGTGGGGGTTTTCTAAGCACTGTAGAGTCCAGCTTTTGTTTTCTGGTCATGTACTTTCTTACATAAAAAAATGTCATTTTTTATTTGTTTGGTTTGATCAATTAAGAAATTACAGGAGTAAAAGTTAGTGTCATATTCTAGGCTTGCATATTCATCTGATAAAAATCTTAAAGAAGCTGAGGAGCTGGCTATGATGAAAAAAGTATTGGAACCCAAATTAATACATGAAAACAACATTGCTACTCTTCAGAACACTCAAACAAATGTAAATTGTCTCAGAGAAAGCAAAAAACTACCTGTTGAACAGAATACTCCAAGTGGAGCTGTGCCCATGCAGAAAGAAGTTGCTTGTTCATCTTGTGTTGAGGAAATTCCAGAAGCAGTCATTGATGCAGAAAGCAACAAAGACACTGCAGGTAGGTTTGGAATTATACTTTTTTTTTCTTTTTGTCTTTTAAATAATTATTGAGTTGTAAAAATGCAGGCAAAAATTAAAATTAGTTTTATAGCATGGTTTACATGGATATTCTTTCCTATGGTGTACCTCATTCCCTCACACTTTAAAAAAATGAATTGCTGCAGAAGTTTTGCAGGAACTGTTCCCACCCAATGTGCAGCATAATAAATCTGACAGGACTTGTTAGGTGTCAGGAAACTCGAGCCCTCACCATGTGCCTTCCCCACAGCAGAGTATCTCCATCCCTTTCCTTTTCTCGCAAATTGCACTAGTTCCAGTGTTGTTTTAGGAGGGTTTTGGAACCTTTAAGAGTCTTCCATACTACAGTTGTGAATGAAACAATATGAGGAAATGCATCTTCACCAGAGGTGTTGGCTGCTACAGCTGTGTCAGTAACAGAGGATCATGCAGCAAATTCGTAGCACTGCATGACCCTTCTACTTTAATGCAGAGGTTTGAGATCTCTGCTGAAAAAAATGATCTGGCTGCATAATCTTATGAAAGAGTAACTGTAGCACTTCTTCTGTAGTACCAAATATGGAGCATTGGTCAAATTTCTGATATCTCAAGTCAAAACAAGAAGTAAAATGCAGGGTCTGGAAAACCCTTCAAGGAAAATCCTAGCTTTCATGTCAGATTCTTCTTTTCAAAATTTTAAGTTTTCTGTGTACTGTCAATAGTCTGCCCTACACTAGACAGAGTGAAAATAGCTATTTCTCTCCATCTGCAGGTAATTCCAGACTAGAAACTGCATCTGTGTTAGGAGAAGACTTAATGATGCTCTACAAGAAGTGCTGTTGTCCAGATATTAATATTTGCATAGAAGGCAAAGATTTTCAGGCTCACAGGTACGTAAGTATTTACAGTAAAAAGTTTTTCAACCAAAAGCCTTCTAACACTGTTGTTACTGTATATCTGTTGGAAGTTACTGCCGGTGCTGTTCCCTAGCTGTGAACTGTTATAGTTTTTAGGTCTTATGTCTGAAGTGGCCATACTTTGATACTAATCAGTATTATTTTTCTCACCAACAGTAACTGTTGTGAAAACAACTGCACTTTTAGCACTTCTAAGATTGCCACTGTAAACTCATATGATGAGTACATACTCATATATCAATACTGTGTAGTTTATTTTGCTAACTTTTTATATATAAATAAATATAAAATAATAAAAGATAATCTATGGTCTGTAAGGAAAATGAAAAATCTATTCATAAACTATTCAGCTATTAGTGCTGAATAACATTTCCATATAGGTAGAAAAATTCTGGAGTAGTAATTTTTTTTCCTGCTTTTCAGAATCTGTGCATACAGAATCTGATTTTACTTTAATTGCTTCAGTGATATAAATGTAAAGATTGTCAGCAGACTTTATTAGATCTAAAGTCCACGGCCGTTTCAGGACTTTGGCTTGTTGTACTCCTGTAGCTTGGGAAAGCAAATTAAAGTGTCAGTACCATTCCTTGTACCTTTGATATAACTCTGCATTTGAGATAGCAAACTAGACAGCCTGTATTTTGTTCCCTTTGAGTATAAGAATCACTGAGAGAGACTAGAAAAACCCTCTACTGTTCATAGTATTTTCTCAACACAAAGCTGGGGGGGTTATTACTGACATTACAAGTATTACAAAAGACACGTCATAATAGCGTGTAGGGGTATTTTAGTTTTTTAAATAATAGAGCTAGGATGTATACTAAATTTCCAGAATGTAGTATAGTTAAGCATGTTTGTTTCTTCTGTTCTACACTATAGGAAGACATGTTCTCAGATCCATAACTTTGAGAAAAAAATACTTAATGAGAAAAAAAAATGAACAGAGAGATTCTATCAGCTCTAAAGAGCTTCTTTAATTTAGGCCACTTCCTGCCTGGAGCAATGTATCTAGTTTAACTAGCATCAAAAAATATGGCAGTAAATCATAGAAAAAACAAGGATGTTCTGAAACAGACACAAGACTTGCTTGTTTTAGTGCTGTGTCATGTGAACAGTAGGAGCTAATAAGGGAAATCTAACTTTGGGTATCATTGTGGTGAAAGCACCAGAGTTATTTACTTGCTTTAAGGGCTTTTTTTTGAAGTTTTCAAATGGGAAACAGTTTAAGCCCCCACACTCTCCCACCCACTTGTCTCAGTATTCCTTACTTTCTCATGAAGTCCTATGAACTTCCAACAGACTTTCCAGTGTGAGTAGCAGTGCTCTGAGAGAGTTGCCAAGTTATGTTTTCGTAGTGTTGTGTTCTTACAGAGCTCTGCATGGAGTGAGTCAAATTTGTTCAGTGATAAAATTGGCACAAACCATCATGGTATGAAAGCACAGATAAATTGACTTCAAATTAATTTGGTATCTCCATGTGTTTTGTAACCACACACTGATAAAATTCAGGTAATACATACTTGTCTGTATTCTACCGAGTGCCTGTCTTATTTAAAATAACAACTTCCAACTATGCCCTTGAAGTTGATTGATCGTTGCTCATTACTAAAATTTATTTGGAAGGAGATGAAAAATTGGAGATAAGTGTATTCCATATCTCCGTGATACTGTTATTGTGTCTTACAAAAACAAGATTGCATGTGTATCCAGAATTTCACATATTCAAACTGATGATGTAGTACCCATTTACATGTGGACATATTTCACTAAGATATGAAACATTCTGTAAAAGCTTTGTTATAGTTGCTGGATGAATCACAGGAGGAATGTGCGAGAAGTTTCTAATTTAAAGTATTGAGACTTCTGAAGCAAGAGGAGGGAAGAGAGATGAGAGATTACAGAATATATAACGACTATAAAAGAGACCATAAATAGCATTCTTCATGCTTCTTCCTACACAAAATGAGAGTGCTCTGAAACATTTCAAGAGACAGCAAATACATGTAACAGAAAGGATTCTCATGCCTAATATAACACTTTGCTTTTTCTGCCACAGGAAATACATGACATAAAATAATTTTATAAATAATAGGAAGCTTAGTAAGCATCAGGAAAAAAAAGTATATATGACAATGCTATCTGTGGCTGCAATAACCCAGATAAGATATATGAAGGCTAACACTATAACTGGTGTGGATCTGGAAGACTGAAATCATAAAGCAGTTTTCATCCACTACCTTCTCTTCCTTTCTGCTCTTCTTTCTGCACTTCCACCTTAAGAGGCTCCTGTTGCAAAGGTGTTCTTACATGGTATTTTGAAGACTCTGATGGTGGCAGAGATACTGAGCTACACAGGCTACTGCTCTGGGGTTTCTTTTTTCTATTTGATGGAAATAGTAAATTGAATCAGCCCCATTATGGCCAGTTATGCCTTTTAAATATACAAGGGTAGTAAGTGTAAATACAAGTAACTGATAACTCTTCTTAAACAGCGTTGTAAACACATATCATATTGTTCTAGCATATGTTTGTATCAAGTTGTGTTTGACTTTTAGGATGTGCTGGTCAGTGGCCAGCCAGTTTTGAATACAAGAAGTTACATACTTCTCTTTTCATTTTGATAAATACACATTTTGTAGTATAAAAAAAAATTTAGGACACAAGGTTATTTACTGTTATTTGTTAAATAAAACAGAAGAAATAAATGTGAAATTTTATATGAAAGGAAAATGCTTGTGAGAATAGATTTCCTCTGTGTGAATCTCAAAGTCATACTAAAAACAAGCTTTAACTGAAGAATTTATGGAGTACTGTTTGGGTTTGTTTCTAGCATATTTTGAAATTCCAAACACACTAGAAGAAAAGGTATGCAGTATACAGCTGACACCTTAATGCATAAAGGGCAAAGATTTAAGTCAATGTTATCAAAGAGTCTCATAATAAATATTTGTATCTAGTGGAATAATGTTTACTTTTTGTCTCTCAGGGCCATTTTATGTGCCAGATCTAGTTACTTTGCTGCTATGCTGAGTGGAAGTTGGGCTGAGAGCTCCCAAGAGCACATCACTCTTCAAGGGTAAGTGTTGTCTCTGCAAGTCGTGTGGGAGCAAAGGTAGGCAATTTCCAATCACTGCAAATATGTAACAACTGTGCTGTGTACAGAGCACTGAAGATTAATCTGCCTTGACACTTTTCTGCAGCCCCATGAGTTTACCGAGTACTGTTTTGACTTCAGGATGACTGTGTGTGTAGTGTATTTGTTAATATTGTCAGATGATTCAGAGAAGTATTTTTCATCAGCAGAAGGGCACTAATCCTTTTTTGTAGAGTATGTTTTAGTATTCACAGTGTATTTGAGAATTCTTTTCTTTCACTTCATGTTGTACATGTTGTGAAAAGTATTATAAGTGTCTGAACAACATAATTTTCATACTTATTTGTACAATAAGTGTATATTTACAATGTAAAGACAAATAACAATTACATCTCCTAAATGGTGTTTAATCATGATATTCCAGCAGCATTTACTAAAGCAATTTTATCAAGTGTGCTTGTTCACAATGGCTTTCAGTGTGAGAGCTGAAAACAATGGAACTGTCACTGTAAGATGAATACTTAAGACTTCATAAATAAGCTGGGGACTGCCAGGTTAGTTCTTTTCAGTATCAGAAAAATCAATTGAAATACATTAGGTTTCCTTTAAGAGCAAAGGAATACTGATCTGTGTACATGTTAGCTTTTTTGTTCAGGCATGATGTAGGCTGACTCAGTTTTCTTCAGGAAGAACTGTGTACCTTACAGTGCTGCAAAATGTAACTGCTTTGTGTTAATAGAAAATTGCTTGGCCAAGTGATACCTTCTCAAATGATCATAATTTTAACTTGCTGTCAGTGTAATAATACTGCTGCAAAATCAGGAAGGTTGTCTGTTGATTTGGTTATAAATTCTTAATCCTTATAAAACATTATACTTGTAATTTAATTGATTCCTTAGCTTTTATGGTATGTTTTGGAGGCTGATAGTCACCAATTACTCTGGTATTTACACTTCTCTCTCTGTAATTGATTTCTATGTGGTTAAGAAAATTTCATCCTAATTTTTCAGTAGAGGTTTTCTCCTGAGAAGTAGTTAATCTTTATATGAGCATATTCCCATGCCAGTGTCTCATAACTTCTGTTATAATGAATCATATCCATAATTTTACCTTTTCTAGTTCACTTTTCTGCTTAGTGCTGATTTCTGGGCTCTCTTTTGTAGCACTTTATAAAGTACGTATGGCTTAATCTGAAATAATGAAAACTCTGCATAAGGTAACAACTGCCAAGACTGGGGAAACTCCTTGGTGACTTCATGGCTATCGTGTGTACTGATACACAGAGACAACTGTGCTGATTTTGCTTCTCTGCAGGTTGCAACCTTGGGCTTTTTTCCTTTTGTTTTTAGTCATCAATGTCAGTTGCTTAAACATGTCTAATGTTTTAAAGGGTCTTAGCTCCATCTGCATGACTATATTCCATTTACACTAATGTACAAAGCACTTGTGGGCTCTGAAGATTGCTCACAAAACCGTATGTACACAAGTACAATGAGGTGTTGTTCAGGAGATCGTGTCCATCATTTAAAATAGGCATTCTGTGCCTTTCTGCATTGTGGTGCTGGGACTATGAAAGGATGCAAATGCTACCGTGTAGGAATTCCAGCTTCCTTAATCTGAGTAAAGACTTTCTCAATTTTGAGATGCAACATTCCTACTTAGCATTCTAATAAAACTACAAAATGTGTTTTTATTGTCGGAAAAGATAAATATATCATAAAATAAAGAATTAAAAAATAATTATTATAAAACAATTTTAAAATATGTAGTTAATTAATAATTGATTTATTACTAGTAAAGTGCTTGGCTCTGATGAAAAAAATCCTTTCTGAATATTATCAGTGTAAATAATGTAGTTATTAGTATTAGTCTACTTATGACTTATTTTCAAAATTTTAAAGTATTAGAAAGTTTTAGCAAGACTATTCAGTAGCTAAATTCACCCAAAAGTAGTCCATTTAGATACTTTTGCATTGCGGTAATCTTGAAAATAGCTTTAATTTTATGAGATCATTTACCTTCTATTCACAGAACAGCTGGATGATGTATCAGCTTTTTGACCAACTTCCTTTGGCTAAGAAGTGTAGTGCATTTTATTCAGGACATGTCTTTATTTGCATTTTTCTTTCTTTTTCTGCAGCATAAGCCATACAGAAATGAGTGTCATCTTGCATTTTATATATGGAGCTATTCTGGACTTCCCAGACAAAGTTGATGTTGGGTATATGTCAACTTTTATTATTTTTTAGTTGTAGTTTTGTTCATTTGATTGTTCTGTATTTTCTCAGTTAAAAGTCAGAAGGAAAATTCCAAAAATAAAGCTGTTGAAGGAATCTTGTTTATTTGACAGCTACTGGAAAAGGTGTGCCAGCCGTTTTTGGAATACTGTGTGAGGAGTGTGAAAAACCAAAGAGATTCCTAATTTGCCTGTGCCTTCCTTTTAGTTTTCAGAATAATATATACAATGTGTGATAGCGTATAACAGTTAATATTTTTAATTTATTTTAAAATAATTATTCAAGTGATGAGAAGGCTAAGTAGTGAGCCTTAGATCCATAAAAGGTGATATATAGGAACCAATGTAGATGTTGGCATTTTCTTCTGGGATAGTTCTTAATCACTTTTTTATACATAATCCTGTATTAGTGAAGTAAATTCTGAAATCTGTGAATTATTCCCTGAAACCATTTATATATGAGATGTTGAACTCTGCCACTAAACAGTAAAGAGCTACAATTTCTTAAAAACATGGAATTGTCCATAATGTGCCCCACTGTTAATGTTTAGGTAATGAATTGATATAGAAAATAAAAATATTGTATTGATTATTATATAAAATAATTAATAATTTGCTTACTGTGCTTTTTACTATTTGAAAGGGACATAATGATGTCATAACATTTTATGTAATCCTTGCAAAAAACCTTACAAAATGCCAAAACTCCACTGGCACAAATATCTTTTTCACTTGCTATCCTTAAAATAGAGAAACTGAGAGGCTTCTAAACAGTTTCTCAGCTAGTAGTTGAGGCTTACTGTTATATAGGCTGAACTCAGCAGCTGGGAGTTTATTATTAGGTGAATCTATGTTTCTGTTTGAAGACTATTCTTTGGCAAGTGGCACACTTGGTTATCAATATTTCTGCAGTAAGTTCTGACTGAACGAAGAGGTGAGAAATTAGCATGTCAATTGTCTTGTAAGCAAAATGCATTTATCAAAATGACTTGTTGATTTCTGTTGCTTTCTCTTCAGTCGCATGTTGGGCATTGCAGATATGTATGGGCTGGATGGGCTGAAAGAAGTAGCTATCTACATTTTGAAAAGAGATTACTGCAATTTTTTCCAAAAGGTACGTCAGTTCTCATGCTACTTTGTCATCTATAAAGCCCAAGAATTTTGATTCTATTACTTAATACATACTATTGAAAATATATTTATTAACTGTGTGGTCAAGGTGTTAGCTTGAGTCAACAGACCCTGTTCTTATGTGTGAGTCTGCTAATTTCACTGGGATTGATGATGGGAGTAAGGTCTGTGGTATCATCTACCTGTTTACAGAAACTTGTAAACCCCAGCTGATGAAAAGCGGTATTCCACACAATTAATTCAATATATTAAATTACACTGAGTATAATTTAACATGTCCTATTGTAAATGTAGTTGTTCTCGGTGGAGATAAGGAAATGCTGTATGTCTGCATATCATATTTCATGGGCATATATTTAGAAAATATTTCTGTTCAATTAAAATTAGTTTAAAAACAAATACCTCCTTAGAGTTGAGCAGTTTCATGCATTAGGCTCATGAGGCTGAATCCAGCTTTACTGACACGTGGAAGCAGATGACTTCCATATTCTGCATAAGGGAAACAAACCTAAATACCATGGTAGCTAACAGTACTTCTGATTGAACCGAAGATTTTGTACTTCTGTATGGTTTCTGTAAATCAGAATGTACAATAATTGTGGTAATTTTCTAACAATTCTAGCCTGTTCCTGGGAAACAGCAACCTGTACTAGAATGCATGGCTATTGCTCATTCATTGGGAGTGGAAAACCTGTATGCTGCTTGCATGAAGTAAGTAAAATAAAATAAAATATTGTTTGTTTTTGATTCTCTTCTTTCTGTTTAAATTATCTTATTTTGCGAGGTAGGACTTGTTTTGGCATATAAGATGTTCACATTTGAAATATTTTTTTTCTTCATAATACTTAAGAGGTATCACTTATGCTAACAAGTGAAGATAAAACATTTTTCATCTTCCTTACCTAAGAGTGGCTCTCTTTTCAACAGATGGGTAGGAAAACATTTTGCAAAATGTTTGTCAGAGAGAAGCTTTGCCAATTTGCCTACTGAACTTCAGAACAACTGTCTTGTTATGTTGATTAACTCTTTGGTAAGTAGTGTGCTTTGTATAAAAATAGAGCTATGTAAATTTTTTCCTTATTTAGCTGTACAATGTAATTTAAGAGATAACAAATGTAGTATTTTAAATCTGTAGTACATTTATTCTATGTAAAAGTTTCCATTAAAATAACAATTTGAAACCCGATTTTGATGTGAAATGTCCTTGTTATGCTTCATGGCACACAGCCCACTGATCGTCATATCCACGTCCAGCGTAATAACAGAAAATAAGTTTGTGAACCACAGCTGTGACATCCTAATGCAACACTGTGGAAGTGTTCAAGGCCAGATTGGGTGGGGCTCTGAGAAACTTGGTCACTGCCCTTGGCAGGGTGATTGGGACTAGATGATCTTTAAGGTCCCTAGTGGCTGCTACTGCATATTCAGGTGAAAGCCTGAAAACCGAAGAGACTTGAGCTATGTGGCTGTACCAAGAGAAGCTTAAGAGTATCCACAGCTATAAAGCCTGAACAGTCCTTCTGCCAGAATGCGTAGTTCTGACAATGAAGATAGTAGCTATACTATCCCAATAGTACACCTAGTATCTTTTAAGACACTAGGTGTTCTGCCATTATATCAGATCAGTATACTGATTTGTTCATAGAATATACACATAGCTTTGTGTGTCATATGTTGCATAAATATTTGAGAAGTTTTAACTAATGTTTTCAGGTATAGATCTACAGGTGTTCATAGTTACACCACTGCCCATCTCTAAACTACCTCAGGTGTGTCCTGTAGCCAAGAGTGAACGGAGACAGCTCCAGGCTCTTCTCTGGGCCCTTGTGCAACATTATCGCAACAGTTTAAAGATAAATGTTCGGGCCTTCCTTCCCCTCTGTGCCTATTCCAGTATATAAAGATGCAGTGGTTACAATTCGGGTTGAAATACATGTGCTACCTTTAAGCTGCCAGCACTTGCAGAGCATTCATGGCACTGTGGTACTTGGTAGTGCTCCAGGTGTATGCCCAGCTTCTCTGGAAGGTTTTTCCAGTCTGGACTAGTGTGATTTGGATCCCATATGATTGGTTTAAAATTTGTGTTGCAAGATTCACTGGTGTTTTATGGACTGAGGTTTTGAAAGCTTTTAAAATTGCAAAATTATACAATAAAGCATAAGCCTCTTCTGCCCAGAGACCAATTCTGCTGAGTGTTCAGTCAACTCCTAGAGCTTAAGACACACATTCCAAAAACCTGTGGAATTCCCAGGGGAGTTTTTTACAATCTGCAAAAATGCTTAAGGCTGCTTGAGGGAGGAAGAAGAAAAGGTCTGACATTAATTTTGCAGGGGCTACTGTTACAATCCTCTTTTTCTCTGCTGCTGGAGTTCTCTGCTGTAAAACTTTTTAACAGTTACACCCAGTTAATGAGTATAACTCTGCTGATCCTTCCATTTACCAATATTGGAACTGTAAAGCCTAGTTAATGAGGGGCAGCCCTTTAGAGAAGAAAAGGTACAAAGAAAAGGAGATTGCTGATCAGAAAATCCCTGAGAAGCCACAATGGATGAGCACAGAAACATTAAAATGGGAGTACAGTTTAAAGCACTCTTCAGGTACCTAACCCTGATTTCTCAACTCCATGCAAGAAAATTACTGGTCTTTTAGATAAGTAAAGTGGACTCCACTTTAGAATGGTTAGGGAAAAAATATAACAAGAGAAGTAAAATTCAGTTAGAGCTACTCCTACAAAGTACTGATTTAATTAGAAGTCAATGAAGGCATTTTATATTTCACTGGAAGTGTCTAATGGGCACAAATGCTTATTGTCTTGTGAGCAGGGGTTGAATTCTAGACAATTCAAAAAGCTTGTAATTGAGTCCAATGGGAGCAAAATCAAACCATAAGCATGTATACAATCCTTAATTTACGTGAGATGCATAGAAGCAACCTGGTTTTGCCCAGAGATGAGTAAAACAAAAATTATTAATTGAACAATGGATGGTCAGATTTTTTATTTTAACTATAATCTACACAGAGAAGATCCTCCCTGCTTTCGAAGTTGCATGGGACAAACATGATTGTGATCCGAATTTACAGTAGGGGATTTTGTGTCAAATATTTATCTGAATTGCTGTTTTTTCTAGTGTTACTGATCTTACTGCATAATTTATCAATGCTAGGTCATGTCGAATAGAGCTTTCAGTCCGTTCTAATGTGGATAACCATAAATTGCAAGTTCTTTTCAAGTGATGTGTTAGGCAGTAGAAGTTGCCCTCAGGTACCGTGCTGATGCAATGCATGAAAGAACCAAAAGCACAGACCAGGGTAATAAATATTAGCAAAACTCTTTACTTGTTTTAAATGTACTTAGAAACATAACATTTACGTTTCTTAGAGAAACTATAGACAACAAAGAGGGTAAGTTCAGTTAAAACTCCATCTGGAAATCAAAAGGATTTATAACTGTGAAAATGTTTTTTGTGTATCCCGAAAGCTGGACCATCCACGCCTACCTAAAACACTGACTTAGCTATTCTATTTCAAAATGTATTACATCTCTCAGCGACCTAAAATGTTTTTCTCTGTTCAGAATAGTTTCTCCACTTAATCTTTGCCTTATTTTCTTCAGGACTGCAGTATGTAATGATACAGTTGAAAAAATACAATAAAGCCTACTGAAAACTTTACTACCTAACTTCAGGCAAAACAGAACAAGTGGATTTTTCTTTTTCTGCTTTAGTTTCAAAGGCAGGTGTAATAAAAATATATATAATAAAATTTATTTAAAGAAGAGAAGTTACTGCACGATTGGGTCCTTGTGTAAAAGTTCAGTGACTGAACAGAAGCTGTTTTACGATCAGCAATTCTTTAAGCAATTACTTGGCAACAGGTTAATTTCTGTTTTTATTTGAAGAACCACAAGAATGCTGCTTTCCTTTTGATGGAGAGTGACCGGCTGATCAACAGCCTCCCTCAGGTGAAGTGGACAGAGGCAGCTGTGGCCTTGGCATCCAGGCTGCATGAAGAATGCGTGACATTTATTGTCGCAGACTTCCTACACATAGTACAAAGCGAAGGCTTCTCTGTTTTGTTGCAGGTAAAAGTGCCCTCAAGTTATTGTATGCTTCCAAATAAATTGAATTGTATTACATTTTGGGAAGTTCAGACTGCTAATTATCAAAATAGCCTCAACTTTTACTTCGCAGTATAATTCTATGGAAAATTTAAAAAAAGACCTTAGGCAGTGCTAAGTTTTTTTGGGGGGGCAGGAGGTAGGTTTTTTCAGTGTTGTTTTAAAGCACATAAATATTTTGATACGCAGGACTGACACTGCGTTCAGGTTATGCACCTCAGTTAAGCAAATGTTCCAGTTGATTTAGTGGGACGGTTTCTGTGTTGGAAAGAAGTAAGTATAGATACCAGCTTTGAAAAAGCTTTCAGGCCCCTAGGAAAACAGCATGTGCTTACAAGAGAGAGTATGAGCTTGACCAGTATATTCAAACTTCGACTGATTTGTGTTGTGAGTTGCAGGAATGTGGCGATACTGCAGGTTCTGGTGAGAGCATAGCTAGTCATCTAGCCAAGTTCATTTCTCCTGTGAAAGATGTTTTTTAATGTGTATAGAGGAATAATAAATAGGGAAATGTTAAAACATTTTGTCTTTGAATCCAGAGTTGCACGGGGCTGTAAATTCATCACCGTGTGCTTGTTCCTAAAATTTCTGTTAGCAGTAGGCCTCAGGATGATTTGTAGAGGCCTGGAGAGGAGGCGGGTTATGGAATAGATACAAAGGAAGATGCTCAGTTTTGGAATACCTCCTGCACAGCTTGAGAGCAGATCTTCTCTGCTCAGTAATGCTTTTGCATACAAAGTACACTCTTTTGTTTTAAACGGCTGCCTTTTGTTGTCTCCTCAGGCACAGGCAATGAGCAGCAAACCTGACCTTCTAGAACTAATTTTTAATGCAATTGAAAAAAGCATTAATAATGAAAATAGCTGCTTTCTCCTTGTAGCTGTGGATACATTGTTGGACTCTGCAAATGTGAAGGAGATGGTAGGTTTTTCAATGTGCAGTTTGTAGAAAAACTGTTCTGATATTTTTTCATATAATGGTTCAAATCAGATGATGTGGTGTGAGCTCAGGTGGCTCAGTCCCGCAACTGGGGTCACCCAGAAAAGCATCTGCATAAATCCAAGGTCCTGTTGGAAGTACAGAAAATGTTGTCATATTTTTACTTTCAAAAGAAACCCCATCCATGGCAATAAAAAAGTTCCTGTGTATTACTGAAAATATAAGTCAATAGGGCAACACTGCCCTATTGATCTTTACTATCACTTTAAATTTGTGATGAGAAAAAGCCGATCAAAATGTTGCATTATCTAAAACTTACGAGGGGATAGAGCTTATTCTCTTTCTCCCTATGTATTTCTCCTGCTTTTGTGAAAGTCACAGCTACATTTGCTTTTGTTCAAGACTGTCCTCTAAAGCAAGGACTGCCTCTTAATCCAGTGTGTGTTTTTTGGATTGGGTGGAGATGTCAGTCTCCATGTGTGTAACATACCATGTATATCCACACAATCTAAATAATGATATGTAAGCTGTGGATAACTAATTCTGGGAATAATTCATAAATAGTATGACAAAGAATGAAAAATAAATGAAAAATTAATTAATGCAATCTGGTGCTATTGTAGATCTCCTTGGTCAAAGCAATGAAAATTTAATCAAATACATTCTTTTTCCCTAGAGTATTTGACCTTGTTGTGACACAACTGACAGTGAAGAGCTATTATGGTGTTCATTTAAAAAAAAAAAAGAAGAAAAAAAAAAGAAAAAAGAGCAATGTAGTGTTTACTAGTGCTGTAGTTTGTAGGTTTTAAAGTACTGAAAAAATTACTGTGGTGGGCAATAATCCTTCAAAAACAGCATCTCCATCTACCAGACCATTATAAAATATATGTGATGACATCATTGATCTAGCTTAGAGAGTAAGTAGATTCTGAAAGGAATAATGACTGGTTGCTATGACAATATGCCCCTCGCCAGCTGCTGATTTGTTACTTGAACACAGGGTTTTACGTGCAAGATCCAGGCGCTGCGTGATAAGCTCTGGGTCTTCCTGGTTCAGTCTTTTTATGCTGTTCGTCACACAGAAGGCTGGAAGCTGATGAGGCCAGACCATCAACAGAAAATACAAGCAGGTATGTTTGGCATCAAACGGCATTAGAATTTTTTAGCAGTCTGTTTAGTAGATAAAATGCAGATGGAATTGTGGAGCCCGATACAAACTAAAGCAAAATCTGTGCTGCTCTGTGTTTTGAAGTGGTGTTTTAGAATAGAAGCATGATGGCATGTTTAGTTAGTTTCAGATATGGGAATCAGTCATTTTCTGTGAAAAGTCTTCCCTCCTTTTCATTTTAGGAGGATATATGATAGAAACCAAACCCATGTAGATGGATTCTATTCTTATTTACAGCTACTCTGAATTACTGAAAACACTGCAGTAGGATTAAAAACCTTATCTGCCTCATTTTTAAGGAGATAAGCTCTGTGGATGAATTAAATTTGCACAAAGCAGATTATGTGTTCTGTGAATTCAGTTTGTGTCCTTTATCGTTTTCCCCATGATGTATAAATATTGCTTGTCTCTTGCATAATGCTTATCTCGTGCTCTGAGCAAATGCAGATAGCTGGACTTCTCGGTTGGTTGGCATTGTGATCCTGTGTGTGCTGCTGCAGAGAGCCCCTAAGGAGCTGCATGGTGTGCTCTCAACATTTTAACAGACAGCACTTCCAACAAAAAGGAGTTTTTGTTCTTTGTTTTGAAGTACACGGGTATTTCTGAGGGTGCAGAACTGATGATGGAGTTCAGGTTATGGTTGAATGTCAGCTTTGATAGTACAGTGTTAGAAAAGAAAGGAAATGTGTTGAATACTTCTCTGAAATCAAATCACTTTTGATTCAAAGGTGAAATAAACATTTTGATGTCCTTTTTGTTAAAGACATTAGTAGCTAGGATATGATAGTTATAAAATTGTTTATGCCGAAAAGTAGATGAAAATTTTATTGTCCAATTACATGCTGAGAGAAAGATGCAGTAACAGTCTTTCTAAGCATGATTTAGGGATGTAGTCAAATAATATCTCACCGCTACTGTGTAAAACAGGTTTATGATTTCTTTCTGGATTATGAAATCCTTCAGAAGCTGAGGAACTGGCTTTAGAAACACGGGTGGGTTGTTTATGATTTGGGATGTTTTACTTTTAAGACGATCATGTCCCTGTTGTGAATAATGTTTAGGCTGCTTTGCACTAGTATTTTCAATACAATAAAAATGTTGAAAATCAAGGTGTGTCTTAGTTGTTCAAACTCCATCTTGCCAGAAATTGTTTGTTTTCTTTTAGATTAAATTATAACTCAGAGGTAGCATACATTTTATATGTGAACAGGCTGAAATGTTTGCATAAATTATCTGGTTTTAATTACAGACAAAATGATCACACAATACTGGTAGAGAAATACTAATCTTTAGGTCAAATATGTCTAGGATAACGTAAATCAACTTTCATTTTAAAGATTTCTGGTGGTGGTTTATCTTCTAGAAATTTAGCCTATATAGAATTAGAAGGCTATAACAGAGGAGGAAAAATGCCAAAAGAAGGCAGATGATAATGTGGGGTTTTTCATTTACAATATGTCTTGTGTTTTCTTAGGCACAAGTTTATATGGATTTTGTCTTAATATATTGGTATGTATTAATGTGCAGAGTCATTGCTAGAAAAAGGATTAGATCCCTGGGGTGCCATTTTCAGCATACCTTTTGTGTGTTTTTTACAGACCTATATAAAAATTATTTTTAGTACCTTCAGTAAGAATTCAGTAGAATTTTTACTTGTGTTATACATACAAAAATGTATCCATGTAGGATGTCAGAACATAATGAATGCTTAAATTTTTACATCCATTTTTTGCAAAACCTTTTTTTCAGCTGAAATATGAATACAAGCATAAATGAAACCTATCGATTCTGGCTCTGTACAGTGTCTATAAATATCCTTTTTGTATTCTACAAGTGCAATTGATTCAAAGGCTTTATTGAAAACTGCTTTCCTCCCAGAGTACATCAGATTAAAAAAAAGCATTTGCTGCCTGAAAATTCCACATGACAATCACAGGGATAACTCTCATGCCATTACGCTGCATGCTGTCTAAAGAGGCACTATGATCTTACTGTGTACATTTAGGTATTTTGGCTTTACCACTTTTCAAAACTAATATAATTTACTTTAATGTAATTAATCTCTTCTTAACATAGTATAAATAAATATTCTATAAATAACAATACATCACTGAAAAGTCATTGGTACTCTAAATTTGAAGCATCTTTTTTGTAAATTCTGTACACTTTCAAAGGTCTCAGTGCACTGCCAGCTTTAAATGAATTAAGCTTGGATAAACAAAAGTCCTGCTATGGACATGGGGAAACAGAAGAGTTAAACAACTTGCTTATGGCCATGTGACCTCATTACAGATCCCACATTTTTTGTTCCTAACATAAAACCATGTATTTCCTCTTAACATTTGCCATGTCACCAAAATTAGCCTTCCTAGAATAGTTACAGGACCCAAAGAACTCATTTCAGATGGAGTTGACTAAGTAGGCTGGATTGTTTTCTGTCTGCCTTCTTTCCTGCTAAATAGTAAAGAAAATGCTTCTTCCTTTTACAGCTGCATTTGACAAGGGTGATGACCGAAGACTTGCCAAAAAACCTGTATTCACTAGTTCTCAGGTAAACATTTATATCCAAACATTAAAAACACTTGGATAATTGCAACCAAAATTATTTTCATTATTCGTTTTAAATGAATACTAATTTTCCATATTGCTTAATGGAACTTGTTTTTGAAAAATCTATATTTTCCTGTGAACTGTTGTTTCTGCAGAATCAGTAATGTTCATTACTGCAAACATCTTAGGATTCAGACTGTGCTCTGCTACATTTTCAAACAGATAAGCTCAAATAGAAGAGAGGAATTTGTGTTCAGAATCTCATATTCCTCTCTTGCTACATAATGAAACTCATCTGTTTCCCAGAGCAAATGGTTTGCCACTGAGCTAATGAATCTCTGCTATTTTCACTAGAAGCCACCACAGCACCAAGTCTCTTACACTCCCTGCCCGGAAAAATATTTTTTTGTGCCCTTAACAACTCTTTTTTCGAGACTCACAGTCAAAACTACATTATCATTTGGTAGAAAAACAGTATGGGTTACATGATTTGGCAGTCTTGGATACATTGCAATGGCACTGGTATTACAAAGATTCATTCCCTACACTTAATTGTCCATATTTCAGTGCATCTCTTTACCTGAGAGAATAAACATTGTCCCTTCTCTGTGGATACACTCTGGGTAATGCTTAAAAACATCACTTGTATTATACAATAATTTTGGGGTTTATGTTTGTAGTAATGCATAGCTTTGTTCCTCTTTGGAAAGTATGCACATATAACTCAAAAAAATTTTCTTACTTCAGCAGCCTCTAATAATATATCCATTACAGAATAATTTGTCCAAAGTAAAAGTAAAACTCTACTTAGATCTTTTTCTCCTCTTTATATAGAGCAGTACTTCACATGAGTGATTTGTGCTACTTTTATATTCTTGAAAGCCAGCAAACTAAGCTAATATATATATATTTTTCTAATTTATTTCTATGTTGAATGTTCTTGCTTTAGATTTATGTACTAATTTAAAAGCAGATGTGTTTCAGAAGTGTAAGAGTATGGACAGTTTGGTTTTACACATGTCTTCTGTTTTGGTTGGGGTTTTCTTCTGATGCCTTTTTTTTTTTTAATCCTAGCTAAATAAAACTACTACTCAATCTGTTGGTATAAGGAATAGCTCCTGGACAGAATACGACAAGAAAGATTGCTGGGGAGATTCTTCCACCAATCAGGATAAAATGAAATCTGATGGATTAGGAGCATCTGGACATACATCCAGCACCAATAGAAACACTGTTAATAAGGCTTCAAAGCATGAGGATGTAAAGGGAAAAGATGGCAAAAAATTAGTTTCCAAGATTACTAAGGATTCAAAACCTGGGGAAAAAGCTGCCTCGCCAAAGGCTAGAGCTGTTATAAAGACAAAAACAGAAAACAATGGAAATGTGAAGGCTGAAAGCATGCTTAGCAAGCAAGATGGAGAAAAGACATCACCTGCAACTGGACAAAAAAATTCTGGAAGTGGCAAAGGACTAAAGAATCATGAAGGAAAAACTGCAGGTGCCAGACCTAAAGTGCTGACAGTAACCTCAAGTGTGCAGATCAAAACAAAACCATTGAAAAAAACCCCAGGGAAGGAATCTCCCTCCTTAGTGACTGTAGCAGCAACTTCCAGCAAGTCAGCAAACTCAAATGCAGATAGCAAGACTGTCAATGAACAGACAGAGGAACCCAAAGAGGATAAATTGATAGAGGAAGGGAAAAAACAGACTGGTAATTTTTTATGATTTTTTTTTTCAAAGTCTTGTTCTAATTTGCCTCAGGCTGGTCATACGCTGAAAACCAGTCTGGGAAGCTTTAAGAAAATCTACTATAGATTGATGGGAGTTACTTTCTTTTGCTGTAAATTAATATTAACTGACTTTATGGTCAATTGATAGCCATATAAAATGGTAAACATTTTACAAGTTTAGCATCTATGCCATTTTCAATAACTGACCTTCATGTATTAGATTTTTTCAGTACTTACATCCAGTGCATTTCCCCCTGTAATTAACTTTGAATTTACTTTACAATAGTGAAAACAAAGGCATCTGTGAAGATATCAAATGGAGTCACCACCAAAAAAAAAAAGACTGAGCTTGAGGCTAATGTCACAACAAGCAGGTATGTTACAGATCAATATGCTGCTTCATATATGTGTGTATGAGCTTGGGGAGAAACGTTTCAGGTGAACTATTAAACTTGCTTTTAGATCAATCAACATGTTTTTTTTAATCTGCGAATGGTTGTCTGTAGGATGTTATTTGCAAAACAATTTGAATTAGCTATTGGAAACATTCTGTAAAGATAAAATTGGTTTGGCTTTTGTGTTGGGCTGTTTCATGCTAATAATTTTAAAATTGTTATAGGTAGTTCAGAATTCTGCATACTGGAACAGTTAATGACTACACAAGGTGTTGTAAATTTATTGTTTCTGCAATAGGTTAAACTGGACAGGGAGACAGCTGAAACACCATGAAATTGTGAAATGGGTCATTTTATATATGTTTGTATATACATTAAAAATATAGATGCACAAATAAGTTTTATTCTCAAAGAGTTTACTTTGCATTTTTGATGTTTATATGTGTGTGCACATTAAAACAGATATATTGCTTGTTTAAATATAATTAAACATTACTAGATCTAAGCTTGGAAATAATGGATATAATAATTTCCTTGCAGTCTGACAAAAAAATCAACAGGAAAAGGATGCAATGAGCAAAATGTACAAACAGTTCTAAAGAAAAAAGGGAATGTCAGTACCAGTTCTGCAGCACAACAAAAGGCTCAAAACACACCTACCAATTCTCCCAAGAGCCAAGGTATAGTTTCATACAGCAATTAAATGATCTGGCACTGTTATGTAAAGCTTTGGGGTTTGTCTGTTTGGTTTTTAGCACAAGTATTTGGAAAAATCTTCTGAAGAATTCTGGGATTTTTCCATATTTCAATTTTGGTGACAATCCTAAACTGTAGAATGCAAATTAATGTGTCAACTTCAAAATGTTTAGAAGACAGTCTTCACTGCCAATTGGTGTTTTCTCTTGCTTGTTTAACTGCATTGCAGAGTCTTCTATTTGCTGCATTCTGCATTTGGAACCATGAGTGAGTCCAGCAGAAATGCTGTAGGTTGAGCGTTTATAATAAGCATCAGAGATATGCACTGCAGACTCCTTTCTGGCTCCCTGTTTTGGTGTTCCCCCACAGCAGTAGCACTACTGACACTGCCCCACAAACGCTCGGTGTCAACAGCTCCTGATAGCAAGAGTAGGAAATGACATCATAGACCTCAGAGAGGGAACACTGCTTTAAAGGAAACAAAGTGTTAAGGATGGAGCTCCAGTATTCAAGTTATATTATCTTTAATGCATTATGATACAGAAAACACAGGTTCTGTCAATTTGTGCTCATTAAAGATCTTTCAGTGTTTTCTGACTGAGCAGGGACATTAATTCTGGTATTCTAATCACATTATGACTAATGTAATTATTTTCTGCCTCCTTTCATTTCCTCTACAATATAAATTGAATACAGTGCTCATCACTTCCTGTGCTAAACTGCTGTGCAGTGTTTCTATGCATTATTAGAGAGCAGCTGCTTTCTACTCCAGTGATGACTACCTCAGTTACAGGCTGAAGTAATTCCTGTATGTATATTCTATGAATTTCTTTAAAGACAGCATGTAAATGCAAGATGGTATTTTTGTCTACTGTTTGTTTAAGATCTCAATTCTTCATTCTTTAATAAGCCCTAAATCCCTTAGTTACATGAAAAGTTGAGTAACTTGTTTCTCAACATAAACACTAACGTAAAATTGGTCAATATACTGTGACTGGCATATACAATCTTTATAGTCTTTTTTACTGTTTGTTAGGACCTCAGGGAGAATCAACAAATTCACTGAAATCAGGAATGTCTCCAAAACATAATGAAGAAAAAAATGTGTTACAACATCTGGTTCAGACAACACTACCAGAAAAACATCCTTCAACCAAGAAGAAGAGTGTTAAGCAGTCACAAACACCTGTAACAAAAGCCACTGCAAAAATAACACCTAAAACCCTGGCTCCATCAAAGCATGCTGAGATTACAAATAGTAAAGACCCGAAACAGAAATCAGCTGTATTAAAATCTCAGTCCTCTGCCCAAAAACATTCAAGGAGTGAATCTCCTGTTGTCCAGAAGAATGTGCACATCTCTGAGCACAGAGATTCAGGACAGAAACTTGAGAAAAACACAGCTGATGCTGTGGCAGGTCAGCTTCATGACAATAATGAATCTTTTAAACCTGTGGTGCAAAGCAGCGGTGATGATAAACTACTGGAGTCCTGTCAACCCAATAAACAAAAATTGTCAGATTCTACTGAAAATGTGCAATACAAAATACAATCTGAGTCTTCTTCTCCTCTGATTACAGAAGAAACTATTTCTAAACTTCATGTTTCAGTGCAAAATGACAGGGAAACAAGACAAATCTCTGAAGATCAGTCTGGAATTAAAAAGACTGAAGATACAAAGATTGATAATACAGCTGAATTTCACTGTCATGCACAATCTGCCAGTAATGGATATTCAGACTTTTCCAAGGAAACCAATCAAAAGGCTAGTGTTCCAGGAGAACTGGTGAAAGATTCAAAACCAACAAAAGTCTGTAGTGAGCAAAGTGATAAATTAAACTCTGAAACAGGTCTTAACTATGATGAAAATGCTTTGTCAAGCTTTTCCAGAATAAGTAATAAAGAAGATGAGACATCATCTCCTCAGATCCATATGGAGGGATTTCTTACAGCTGATGAACTGTGTGATACATCAGCCTTGACTGAATATAAATCAGTTACAGCAGATTTAGATGATGTTTCAGAATGTTCCACAGAACAAATAACAGAAAAATATTCACCTAGTTACACAGAGCTTATAGACCCTACAGAAATGCCAGAAAACCAGGAAAATGCAGAAACTCCCTTTGTTGACCACTGGAATACTGGTGCTGTAGATCCAAAAGAGAGCCCGGAATCAGATACTGGCAGTGCAACCACATCCTCTGATGATATAAAACCAAGATCAGAAGATTATGATGCTGGAGGCTCTCAGGATGATGAGGGATCCAATGAAAGAGGGATTTCTAAATGTAGCACTATGTTATGTCATGATTTTCTTGGAAGAAGCAGCAGCGACACAAGTACACCTGAGGAATTAAAAATTTATGACAGCAGCCTAAGAATAGAAGTGAAAATGAAAAAAGAGGGTTCTGATCTCTTCCGTGTTAACTCAACGAGTGATGATGAAATACCAAGAAAAAGACCTGAAATTTGGTCCCATCAGGAGAGTTCACGGACCAATACTAGAGAAAGCAAAAGTTCTACTTTTGGTAATGCACAGTTTACTCAGGAAGCAGACCAAGTTTCTTCTTCTGCCGATGAAACAGAAGATGACAGATCTGAAGCAGAGAATGTTGCACAAAACTTCCCTCCATCAAATGTGCCCACTCAGCAGTTCCAAGGAATTGATAATTTAGCTTTTGAAGATGCAACAGAAAATGATACTGTAAGTCAGGAGTTTTCTAAAACTAAAAATTTCAAACGATCTGTTTTACTTTCAGTAGATGAATGTGAAGAATTGGGATCTGATGATAAAGTGGAAACTCATACTTCACGTCAGCACTCAATAGATTCTCTTACTCCAGAAGTATTTGACAGTGTTTCTCAAGAGCAGCACGGAAAGACCTTTTATTCAAGATACTCAGTGGAAACTGAAGAAGGATTCCTGGATGGCAAACAGCGTAAGGATAGAGACAATAAGTCAGATAAAAGTGGAAGTTCTCTCTTACATCTTCACGGTACTGAAATCCCAGGGAAGGAGGATGAGGGTGCTTCAATGACTGAACAAAATTGCCCAGAAAAAATCTATTCAGCAGCTAGTCCATGTCCAGGAGAAAAACAGGAAGTAAATATGAAGAATGAGGTTGCTATTGAATTTCAGCAGTGCAATAAGTACTTAGACAATGATGCAAAATCTCAAGAAAGACCATGTCATCTGGATCTTCAGCAGAGAGAAACTAATTCTGATGCGCAAAAGAACAGCTCTGCAAAACCTGTAGAAGCCAGTAAGAATCAGATACTGACTCAGGAAGGTCAAGTGAGAGACAGTCAACCAGCAACTACTGAATGCGCTAATACTGATTTACTTCCAGGTAATGTACAGAAATAGAAACATTCAGTCATTCAAAAACAAATTAATAGGCAAAGCTTTGGCAATTTGTCTGGGATTGAATCCTGAACTGAAGTAATTTTGGCTGAAACTATATTAAATTTAAATATTTTTAAGTATTTCACTTGGGTTAGAGAATGCTTGTCTGTTTGAAATATCCGTCAATACCCTGCTGTTCAATGAGAAACTTGACTACAAGAAAAGAGATTTTATGTAATGCTAAAAGAAAGATTGGATGCAGTTGTCTGTACTTCAGTTATTTTTGATCCAATCTAACATTGACAGCATCAGCTTTTGATGGAATTTTAGTATTTGTTTTGTCTGCTTGACAACATATAGTATGTCTGAATGGGATGTGCAATAACTAAAGTAATAACCTTAACTAAAGCGCACTGAACTGTTTACCTGAACAGCTATATGCATTATTGTTGTAATTTATTTATTTATATATTATATACCAATTTGGATCCTTCTCCCACTGAATATAACTGAATATTTGCCATATACACCAGTGGGAGCAGGTTTGAACTCTGCTTTAGAGCTTGTGAGATGTCTAAAATTCTAAATTTTACCAATAAAAGCTTATTTCCTAAAAGAGAGATTATACTTAGAACTGATGCTTATATACAGAAAAGTTCTAACTTGTTTCATGTAGCTAGATGAATACTTGTCTAGTTTTGTGTTTTGTCTTCTTTATATCAATAATTCAGTCTGTTTATCCCATCAAAAATATACAATAGTGTTGATTACAGCTATTGTATATTCAAGAGCAATGAAACACTGATGATGATCTGTGTTCAGCCAGACCACAGAACAAGAAGACATTACAAGTTGTACTATTTTTTTTTAAGTTTGCTTGCCCTTGCCTGCAGCTGCCCTTGCATGTGCAGTGTAGAAATAAGCCTGTGGATAAACAATTTTGGTTTTAATTCTCTCCTAAGCTGACATAGCTTAAGTCACCATTCAGTAATCATTCTCTATTAATTCCCTCTATGCACCTCCTGGTCTAAATTTAATTTATGTAGTAAATGAGAAATTTCATGTGCATTAAGTGTATATTTACATTGTCATTTTCTGTATCAGAAACTTAATTATGGAGGTTATTGTTAATTACCAGTGGTGATTGCTACTTTAACTTAATTTATAAATCATACTTTGTTTTTTATATAGGAAATAAATGCCTCAAATTTTGTCAATTTTGTATAACCCTCCATCCCCCCTTTTTTTAACCTGATTGGATTGTCCTTCCTGAATGAATTAAATTTTGCTCTACACAGCCCTGAGGGGAGGATCATCTACAATTTTTACATTGTACAGTATTGTGAATTATTTCAGGAGACATAGATGATTATGACACAATGGCACAAACCTGCATGTATGAACATCGGCCTCCAAAAACCCTTTCTCCAATATATGAGATGGATGTTGGAGAAGCAATTGAGCAGAGGATGGATTCAGAAACAGCAGTTCTAGATGTGGATTTTGAAGATCAGCAGTTTGCAGAACAGGACTGGACTCTTCTCAGGCAATTGTTATCTGAGCAGGACTCAAATATAGATTTCAAAAACTCTGTTCCTGAAGACCTTAACTTAGCACAATGTCTTATCAATCAGACACTGTTTCTGGCACGAGATGGTTCAAATCCTCAGGGTACATCACAAGTTGACACATTCAGTAGGTGGACTGAGCTCATGTCTCCACTGGACGATTCTTCAGCAAGCATTACAGTGGCAAGTTTTTCATCTGAAGACTGTTCATCCCCTCAAGGGGAATGGACAATTCTTGAACTGGAAACCCATCATTAAGGTGACCAACTGTTTGCAACTGAACTCCAGCCCATTCCCCAAATCTATTTTTGATGCGTTGTTTCCATACAATAATGCTACTGCATCAGTCAAGAACGAGCAATTCTTGATACTGAGGCAATCTTTCTTATATAATGAGGTAAATATGTTAATTTATAATCTAGATTTAATCACAGGTACGGTAATTTTTCAAGACTTAAATGTATGTCTTTTCTAAAAATGAACTTTGAGCATGTATTTTCTAGAATTGTTAGAAAAATTAGATGACATGAAAGAAAAATCTTGGTTTCCACCTTCCCTTTTATCTTCTTTTTTGACATTTAATGTTCTCATTCAGCAAAAATTTAAAGATGAATGCACAATTAGTAGAGCTATTCCCCTCCTTTTTTTCCCCCCTCTCTCTATGGTCACTTCATTTTACAACAATAAAGATTCAGAATGGTTGTGTCAAAAGGTGATGTGTGCCAACACTACTTTAAATGATGGAAACACAGTCTTATGTTCAAAGAAAATGTTTCAATCTGAATCTGCCTTGGGCCTTATTAATATGAGCAGCTTGTTTCATCTATTTCTTCCATATTAAATTTTTGTATTTTGTTTTGTTTTGTTTAGAAGTTTACAATAAATTTTTTAAATTGTGTTTCCTTTAAGTATAAGACTTCAGAGGGTCTGTGCTATAGGAAGAGCACTGTTCCTTTCTTGGAAATGCATGTTTAAGTAAATATTTTAAATGGCATAGTGCATGAATTCAAAGGAGTTGGTAGAATGCTGCTCCTGTTCTAAGAAACAGCATGTCTGATGTTTCCACGAATATATCTGATGCTGAAGTCGTGGTCAATGTTACATCAGAAGTCTGACTGACTAGAATTATCTTCTGGCTTCAATTCATAACACTTGCACCCTTCTGATGCTAGGGCATAGAAAGATTCTCAGGAATTCGGTTTTGTTTGTTTTTACAGATGCTACATTTTTGGAGCAGTAATAGGATTCTTGCATCTTCATTAATATATCTAGTGTAGCTTTTATGTATTGAAACTAAATGTCAACATAACCTTTCTTCTGACTCAGAGTGAAATAGAATACATAGCTCATTCTGCTGCTTTTGGCTATTTGAGTGTGGATAGGACTAATTATTATCGTTTGTGATTTGACAAGGAGGAAGGAGTGAGAAACTCTTTGTAATTGTTACCAACTCAGAACTCCTGAAGCATACAAGTTTTTCTCCCTGCAAAGGCTGGGCTCTCTAAAATACCTGCATTATGGAAACAGTAGGGCTTGTCTTACACACAGCCTGAAGTCTAAACAGGAAATATTCTACCTCCTCTCAGTCATTAACAGAAGTGCCTTCTGAAATAGGTGCCATATGGCAGTAAATGGCTACTAACATTCTTCTTTTGTGGAAACTATTTAAGATAAGTACACAACTTAAGCTGGTTGTAACCACCGGTGACATGGTCAGTTTTGCAAGCTTTTGCACAATTCCAACAGTGCACCTTAATTTTTTTGACAAACTTTGTTCATAGTCAAACTCTCAGTTCTGTGGAAATATGAAGTTGCCCTAGCGTATGAATGAAGTTATGACCTGTCTGACCTTTGGATTTGACATAATAAAGAGCTTTGGGGCAAAATAGTTTATCTAGAAAGCCACTTTGTTGAACTTCTGGTACAAAAGTAAAAGTAATGTTTTATTCTCCTCAGAACAGAGGAAGAATTTTATCTCATTCCTTAATGTCAAGGTAGGGGGAAAAAAAGGAAAGCCTTCCTTTCTCTATGTCAATGGAGGACTCTAACTCAGGGAAGGAAGATGTTCAGTCTCAATAAAAATCTTTCTAACCAACTCTTTTAGCAGCAGTATCAGTAGTTTGAAATATTATAATTCAAAATATTATAAATGTAGTACACTGTATTTAACCCAGTTTTCATATTGAGGAATTTAGGAGAACCTTTAGAAGTGCAAATCATCAAGAAAACCTGGTTTTCACCTTCAAAGTTTACAAGGTTTATCAGTAGGGGATAGTCTTTTGAATAAAAGAAAGAACTATAGTATTAGCCAAAGTAAAAGATGAAACCTGAGAGAAGCTCTTACAGCAGGCTGAAGAATAGTGTTTGCAATCTCTCTGTAAAACACTAAAGTAAAACTTGTTTACCAAAAAGCTTGATCAACTTTCAAATCCTGATAATATTCTGATAGTGGGCATTCACACGTTAAACAAGATGAAGTGATGGAAAGGAGAGGTGACAGAAAGTGAAAGAAGGGTTCCTTTGGTCTATTTTTTGCTTTGCCCATATTTTTAACTCTTACTGAATTGATAGAGCAGCACTGAAGCGACACACAAAGTTTCATGTTTGTTTTATGAATTACAACACATACAGAGGTTTCTTTATTTTTTCTTTGCATTTACTTTTCCGATTGGATCAAAATGAAATTAGCTTCTGTCTTCAAGTCCACAATGATGTTGCTGCAATTCCTTTAATAATTTTGCAGCAGAGCGCTGATTAGGATATGGTATTGTTCAGTTGTTACATATGCAGCCGCAGAATTCAGCTTCCCACAGCCAAAGAGTGTCTGTAGAAGTAGCAGGAATAGAAAGTGGTATTGTTTTTAATTTGCGTTACCAGAGTGTCTGTGAAGCTTAATCAGACCAACATCCCACTGGCTAGACATTGTACAAACCCAGAACGGAAACAAAGACTTCCCACAGAGTGCTTATAATCCAAGTTAAGACAAAAGACCAAAAAAAATGCACATGGATGGAAAAGTAAAATGAGCGTGTCAATATTTATCTAGCTGATTAGCAATGGTCTCAGCACATCATCAGTTTAAACAGTCATTTTTTTCTCCTGTATGCATTATGAGAAGGGGAAGTTGGAGGGTGAGATTTGGAGGCTGGATAATGAGGGAGCTGGAAGAATCTATATTCCTGACCAGCCTTGTGTGCTAGCAAAACTCTCTTCCTGCTTGACCCTGACCTCATTCAGGGTCAAGCTTTTGGCCAGGTGTAAGTGGCTCTGTATTTAATAGTATCAGTCACCTGAGTTCTTCAGTCCTGCTCGTGCTTCCTGACAGTGATTTTGTGACTGTATTGGCCTAGTTTCCAAAGCATCAGAGAATGGATAAAGGTTTGTTTGAAAACTTCATAGAGAAACAACCAAAGCTAGTGTCATAGGCTTCAAATGAATAGTGATTAAGAGGTCCTGGAGGACCTCTAAAGTAGAGACAAGGTAGGTACATCTGATGAAACAGTGAAAGGGTGTCAGTGAAGAAACTAAACAGATGGCATAGTGAAAATATTGTTTAAGGATTTACCTTTGCAGTAGTATTTTGGATAAGAGCAATAAAATTGCTTTGTCAAAGCCTGAGCAGACAATGTTGCAGTTAACGGGTGATACTGACAGCTTACCTGAGATTGTTACGGGAATGGGAAGGGTGTCTGTATCCTGCAGGTAGTAACACCAAATTTAGTAAACTCAGTGAAATTTAGAGGAGAGAACTCAGAAATCAGAGTTTAAGATAATGACCCTGATTTTGCTTATCTTGAATGATGTTGTGAAAGTGAAAAATAAGGATATTTTACATATGTGAAGGTATTAAGTTTAAAAAAGACTACATCTCCAAAAAGTGGTCCTGTAGTCATAATAACTTTTTTTTTTTACTTGGAAAATTAGAGTCTAGTCTGGACTGGAGAAGCAGCTCTGCAGGGTTTTTACATACAGATACTAGCTAAAATTGTATTTGTGGAATAAATCACCAAAAGAAGTATTGCAGAGGGAAAATGGAAGCAAATGGAGGCCCAAACAGTTGGAAACCTACAAGAAACTAAGGAAAGTGGCGGTTCTTCCAAATAATCTGCTCAAAAACAAAGAACCATTAGGTAAGCGAAGGAAATAAAGATGAAAACAGGAGTCAAATGAGGATGACAGGATTTAAGGAAAACTGCAGCACTGGCTTCACTGGACAAAGCCCACAAGGCAGATGTATAAAATACCAGTTTTGAGGTCGGTTAAGAAAGTGTTCTTAAGGACTGTGGTCAAAATGAGATATTGGCTCGCAGAGTAAAAGGCAAGCAGATGCCAGCTGGTAGAGCATGACAGAATTGCAGGAAGGAAACTGAGCCTAACTATTAAGAGAGAGACAACAGTTAGAAAAGCAGATCAGTTAATAATATATTCTAGGTTGCTTTTTCAGTGCATGAGATTATGCCATGTTTATATAGCGCTGCAAAAGAAATGTGGAGACAGACATACAGTGAAGATCAGGAGAGATAAGTAAGCATGAAATGAGATCAGCAGGCAGTCTGGGCTGCTACAAGTGATCAGATCAGTGCATAAAACCCAGACACTGGCTTTTGTGGTGTATGGGTAGTGGAAAGGACACTCCATATATTTATTCATCATTTTTTCCCTTAGAAAAACTTCTAGAATCATAGAATTACAGAAAAGTATAGAACTATGGGAAAATGCAGGCTTGAACAGACCTCCAAAGGTCTCTAGTCTGACCTGCTGCTAAAAGCAGGGGTAACTTCAAAGTTAGATCAGGTTGCCATGGCCTCATCAAGGTTCATAGCATATGAAACCATAATAAAGTCAGCAGGGACAAACACAGTGCTCATGTGAAGCATTTATTTGAGATTAAAATATATTGAAACTACTTCAACTATTGTTGAAAAATATTAGTAATTAAGTACAAGAAATATGGCTTGCTTGCGATATTCTTAAATTCTGGATGATATATGACTGAACTGTACATGTTTAATAATCTTACCTCACACTTTTTAAGGTTTTAAATTATTTCAAAATTATACTGAATTTTTGAGTTTGCAAATTTTATTATTATTTTGGAAGAATTGGGGCAAGAGAACTTTGCACGTTTCTCTCAAAAACTGTCCATAGGATGTGTTCCCTAGCATTGTCTTATCAGTTTCTTTCAGGGAATATGTAAAAACAAACAAAAAACCCCACATAGCTGTTCTAAGTACAGATATAGGAGACTGTTTTAAAACTTTCAGTATATATTATTGCCATCTGGAAAATAATTAGTAGCATGTTCATTCTAGTTTGCTCCAGAAAATCTAAACCTTTGCATGAAGGAATTAAGAACTGCTCTTATGTTGTACATCGGTTGCTCAGAACCAAGACGTTTAAGAATTCATTATTTTCCTTTCACCAATGTCAAAGAAAAGACTGTTGACCTCAGCTGAAGCAGGTTCAAGCCTTGCCTATATTAATGCATGTACTAGAAATGCTATTTTTCCAGTATATCTATTTCATAGTTTTCTAGTTTTACTCTACTAATAACATTGTACAATTGTAGGTGTGACAAATTACAGCTAGAAAGACTTCAATTTATTAGTCATAACTGTGTGCATTCTGTTAATATTTCATGACTGAAGTGATTTAACATTTGTACATTGATAGATGACTTTCATGCCAGGACTACACAGGAACTGAGGATAAAAGACAGGATGAGAATTATTGCAGCTTTGTTACAACAGATGATTCCCTGGAAATGAGCTTTTAGATATGAAATCCAGTATAATTAGAAGCTTTCATCTCTTGCAGAAAATCCATACTGATTTTCATATCTCTCTCTTGAACACAAGCTATATGTGATATTTTTTGAAAAATAAGCTTTAATGTGTTCAATTTTGGAAAAATTACAGCTCAAATCTTCTTCCTATTGACAGCTACTATCTGTGTTTAAGGAAACTAAACTTGTAACAGGATATCGATTGGGGAAAAATACCGAGTTTGATTTCTTTGATTTTTTTACATTTGGTAACTAATATAATAACTGAAGAAGCTATACAATGCATGCATGCACACCTGTTTATTTATTGCATTTGATCTTCCTTTTATACTTTGCAGTCTGTACTGTACAGTCCATTAGGCCACAGTTCTGCAAACACAGGAGCGAATCCACATGCACATTTGCAGATTGGCTTTCCATTTAACACTGGCTTTTCAGAAAGGGTAATGGAGCTGGCACTGGGGGCAGGCACCGGGCATGCTTGGGCTTTTAGACAGTACTCAGCTTAATGAGCTTCTAATCCTGATGAGCCATCTGGATGCAGTTAAAGTATGAAATAATTAATAACGGAATTCCATTAAGTTGCTTCTCTGTTCTCCTTGATTTATTGCTGAAGTTGCCAGTTCAGAAGACTATTCAATTAGAGAAATCAAAGTCCTAAGAAATCATAACTTTTCACGTTACATACAACAAAATTTCTTTTGCTATTGCACAGTAAAATATGAATACTGATCATGTCTTCAATAACTCAAACCTCGGTATTTGGAGGGGCTGCCTATAACTCAATAAATAGATGTATTTAACAAGGACATTGATGGTCAGAATAGGATGATGACTGTTAACTGCATTAGAGTGCATATTCTGGGGAACCTGAACAGAGGCTCACATGCACAAATTTGGGACTCAGCCCAGTGACCCAGGTAGTCCATCAGATTTTATACTTTTGCACACCAGTGAAAGTGGCTACTTGTTCTAAGCTCCCACTGCAGTCAGTGTGAGTGAGAGATCCACATCTCTAAAAATCAGTGTATTTATGTGTCTGAACAGAAAGACTACTTACCCGAGTAAAAACTTTGGCTCGTGTAAGTTAGCTCTATAACCCACTTTTGAGATTGATCTCACCAATTTACTTAAACCTACAGCATCCTCATTTATGCAGTCCTTATTTAGGAATTTTTGTGGTTTTCTTACACTTGTTTTTAATGAAATGATTTTAGTTCTTCACTTTTTTTTTTAAATAGCACTCTTTTGAGTGTGGAATGGCATCCTGCCTCTCAGTAGAGTTACATCAGTGTGCTTAAGATCAGTATAAATAGGACAAACCATAGGTACATGCCAGATCTAGTGTAAGTAGTATAAAAACTTTTTGTGACCTTCATAGACTGAGGTAATTGTAATGTCCACAAACATGAGACCCACCTTTAAATCAAACTTCCTACTTGTAACAAAATGTCCTCCTGTATCTGTAGAGAAGAAAACTTCAATCTCTATTTTCTGGATTATCATGTTTTAGTAATCAAGATTAATCCAATATATGTATAACGGGATGCATCCAGAGGAAAGTCTGAGTCACTAGCTATAGTCCATGACTTTATGGTCCAAGAATATTTTGACCACTCAGTCTTGTGGAAGGAGGGGGAGGGTTTTAAGCTCTCAAACTGAATGCTTGCATGTTTTCCAACTGCTTGCTTTTCAGATTTAGATAATTAACTGGGGCCTAAGTAATCATATTTCCAAATGACTCCTTGTCAACACGGTCTTCTGTTTCCAGAATATCTGTATGGTTGCATAGTCCCAAAACCTTTCTTCCCCATGCTACATACTGAAGGTTCTTAGTTGATTTCTGTATGACAGAAAATAATAAACCTATGTGTAAGTTAAATGCTGAGTCATTGTACTTCATTCAACTTGTGGACTGCTGACATCAGTTTTTATTTGTGCTCTGTCAGTTGCAAAAAAAAAAAAAAAGCATTACTTTTCTATGTGTTTAGTGAACCTTCACTCTTCCTCTTTCTCCTCAAAAAGAAAAAAATTAATTTTTCTTCAATTGTGTAATCAGAGAACAGGATGGGTGATGTGTGTGAAGATCAGCAATCAATTCTCATATAAAATGCATAGAGAGGAAGAGACCTATGTAACTGCCCTACAAAAATCAAAAAATGGTGCTGATGTAGAACACACAGGATATGGCTCTGGACAGTGCAGAGAAACACTAATTAGATGATAGATTTTATCTTGTCATAAATTAGTTATTCATCCAAATGCTTACACCATTATCTTCATCATAGGGGAGTTGTAATCCCAAGATCTTTCTATTCCTGCCTAAATGGGGTTCTCTGCTCTGCTTCCAGGAATTATTTGATGTGCTGCCAGACTCAACCCTATTCTTTCTCTCTCCTGCACCATCACCCGTATGTGAAATGCACCATGTAGGTATGTGGGAAAGGAATTCTTCTGAGATTTAAAGCTAAGACTACCTAAATGTCAGAAACTGTCACAGCAGAGATAACCATAAGTATTAAAATAAATTTAGCTCATCAGATAGCACAGGATCCCTCAAAAGTCAGTTTTGGGAAGGAAAACTTCTGTGGAGAATGCTCTGAAGAATACACAATCCAGAAAAAATTATTTTCTTTGAGTCCAAGCTCTCTTTTTTTAGCCTTCTGACATTAGGCTCGAAAAAAGAGAAAGGCAATTCATGTAGTGAGATTCAGACTCGAATGGTATTGCAGAACAAACCTCTACCAGAATTGTCCCTTGAGTAGTTCCTAGTCCAGGAGTTCAGCATGCCCCATTGCATAAGACTTAAACCAGACAAGCCTTAGGCCAGGGTGGCTCTTACACAGGACACTATGGGTGTTCGTTGTGCTCAGAATTTTCTGTCTCAGAGCCTTATTTTTATTTCAAATGTGAACTATTGTCAAATGTGACAAGGAGAAAGATAAGTTTCTGGTATAAATTTTTGCCAACTGTAATTAGGATACACAATTTACATAAGTAGGTATGTAACAACTGGAGTCAAAATATTGACAGGAAGCATTTTGTGTTAAGGTTGGCATTTTCCTCATTGTCTCACGCTTATCCATCATTGTACTTTGATGCCTCTCAAGTGGAATTTTGAGGTTGAGGGCGTCTAACTCCATGCACAATAAGTGGCTATAGGGGAAAAAGGCATTTGCAGGTATCACAGGAGCCTAAATCCAGTGTTTATATTTCTTTATAATTACAATTTTTTTAATGTAATAATGTACCCTTGTATGTACTGTACATTTCTAACAGCATTACACTGAGGAAACAGAAATCTACTCACCTGTTAAAGATATTTACACTG